ATGCTTCCTGCTCCGCTGGGGAGTGTTTGAGGCTGTGTTCTAGCAGGCTTTGAGGAAGACGGAAAAATTGCACTGATAGGTACCTTTAAGTGTATCTTTTCAGGCAATATAACAGCTGGAAGCAACAAGCAAGAGTCAATTCCACATGTTTGTACTATACAGCAACACCAGAGCTAGCCTTCTGCTGGCAACCATTTGAGATCCGGTGCCTGAGGCCATTGCATTAGTCAGTTAAAATAGGGCTTAATGCTATCCTGGTTCACACTGCACTAGTTTTCCTAATGTCAATTACGGTTGCATATTGCCTAACCAAGGGCAGCATTTGGTCCATAAATTGTTTGCATGTCCTGTAATTTTTGCTTTTTGCATTGTGTAAAAAAACCCAATCTATCAACTGTGGTGTTGGTTGCAAAATATCTTCTGCTGTAATTGCTCTGATTGTTTATGCCATGCTAATGTGTCCTTAGACATTGAGCTGTGTAAAAAGATTGATACACCCCAAAAGTGTAAATGGCAATTAGGGAATTTCATCAGGTGTTGAGTAAGATGGAATGTTTGTGACACTTTAATGCTAGCCTTCACGCTGTTTGTCTGTCTTGTTGAAACACTCAGATCTCAGTTGTTAGGGGAAACCTGCTTAGGGACAGCTCAGTGGAAATCAGTATAATTACTATTCAATATGCAAAGTGAACACTCAGCTCTCTTGTATGAATCATGTTTCCTTTGTAGTAGAATTGTAATAAAAGGACTAAGATCTGCAAAGTATTCACCGTAAAAATATCATGAGTGGGTTTACACATACAGTGTCATGCCTTTGGCATGTGGCAACTCCAGGACTGGCCATTAGCTAGAGAAAAAAACATCCAAATGCAGATAAAGCGCTTGCATGGAAGCACAGCCTATTGAAATTATGCAATTGAAGTGTGGCCTGTCATTCCCTGGTATGTGTATAGAGTATATCCTCCCTTCGCAGCTCTTGAACTAGGGGATTTTTGCTCAGTACTGCTCACTGTTTATTTTTGACCAGATCAGATCCTTTGCTATTGTGTGTCGGTTAAGGTACTGCCAATGGTACCACATCAGTCTACACCCTCAAATAATTTGCTGTAAATCAGAGAACAGCCTTTCTCAGTGGCATGGCCAGTGGCTGTCTTGGGGACCTGACTGGGTGCCCATCACTACATAATAAACTGAAGCATCTAACCTGCATTTCTGATTAATGAGAATCTTTCATAGTGATAGGCCTGGTGCAGTTAAATGCAGTGTTATCAAGAATTTGAAACTGGGGGAAGTGAATGTGAAACTTCAGCAGAGGGTAAAAAAGCACAGGAGCACCAGAAGGAGCTGTGGACAACATGGTTAAGTCACAGGCAGAGAGGAAGAGGACTGAGACCAGTTGCAGGATCAACTAGGCTATTAGCTGAAGCATTATTTGAATGTTTTGAAGGCTTCTGATAAGTGCAGCGCTTCATGACATACCTGCTGTTAAATACCTGTAGACATTGCTGACCTTTGCCCTAGGCAGCTCTGCAAAGGGTTTGGAAATGGAGAGGTGGATGGCACAACCTGTGCATGTTTCCTGGATGCGTTTTGATTCCTGATGGACAGTGAGTCATGGAGGGTGATGGCAAGTAGAATCACAGTATTTTTGCATGGGTGCAAGAAGCTATAAGTTTTAAACCATGGGCCGAGGATGCTTACTGCATTTTTAGAATAAGGCAGTTTACACTGTAGTGCGCAAATATTTGTGCTATAAGAAATACTTCTGCTATTTTTGTTTCACTAAAATATGACATAGTTGGGAGTGACAGTTGCTTTTGGGGCTTGTTCCTCAGTTACTGTTGAGATCATAGTTAGGAAGTCTAGTAACCTTTTTAAAGAATCCTTAAGGTATTTAAGGAGTACTTTTTATTTCTCTGTGTCTGTTTAATTTTAAGCTCCATCGGTCATGTGTGATTAAAAACAGAGTAAAATGGATATTTTTGCCCAGTTATAGGCCGGACGTCTCTCAGGTCATGGGTTATAAGCAGCATTTTGGAAATATCCTGTTTGCCATCTTTCATGCGGAAGGGGGAATCTGAGCCTAACACAGCGACACAGATCATTTGTTATAATTCATCACACAGCCTGCTGTTACAACAGCCCTGGCTTTGCTCTCCCGTGCTCACCTTCACTGAGGACGGTCTGCAGAACCCTTCCAGAAAATACCTTGACCCACACAATTGCACTGAGCAATTCCTTTTATTTTTCTCTATGTGAAAATCTCTCATTCATACGAAAATACTGAACACACGGGCCTCTGGTGGTTTTTAGGGCTTGATGCTAACCTCATTTCATGTACATTGCATCATCTCAGACTAGAACCTGTCTGCACATTTATTTTTCTGCAAGCTTCCGTGATATGTATATAAACAAATATTATTAAAAGATCTTATTTTTTTAAAACTTCCCTTTATTTTTACATTCAATGCACAAGGACAGAAAGATGAATATTTGTGACAAAATATAAAGCCATATACTGTCATCAAAACGGTTAAAAGATAGAGTGGTTAAGAGTTTAAAAAAGTATTTTAGAAACCTTGTATTTCCCAAATTCCTCATTACAGAAAATTCAAATCTTTTAGAAAAGTAGAGTTAAAAATCCTTGTGCATTAAGCCGTATTATTAAAGTATGTAGATGTTTTTCATCTTTACTTTAAGAAATCTGTCTCTGCATTGCTAACAATCTTTATGTAACCTATTGATGGAGCCAACAGCCTCCATAATATGTAGTATACACAGTTACAAACAATTTGAAAAGTTATATTACAAAATATACAGTAGTTCCTTTTTACATTTTCATAGATAAACATTGCATAGTTTTCAAATATGTAATATATAACACAATCACGAGCTTTTTTTCTGTATAACTTACGAAAAATTCTGTACACTCAAATAATTATAAATAAAGTGTAAATATATTTTGGTAAGACTAGGGGGGGGAAATACACCAGGACATGGTGTGCTGTCAAGTGTTAAACAGAAATCTTTGTCGGAATCTGCCTAAAACAAAGGCACAATATGGCCTGGAGCAAGGAGAGAGGAGAGTAAGAACTGAATAGATCATAGGGTAAATGGTACAAGGAGGAACCATAAAGTACTGATATGTCTGACTATTAATTATTACCCTGATCGCTTTGTAAAAGCTGCTTTCCCACAGTTATCATCACTGTGCTTAACGGCTTTACTTCAAGATGCAAAATAAGGTGCATGCTGTTTAAGAAATGAGTAAAAGTAGATTAAATGTTTCCTGTTCTAATGGGTGGTCAATGGAAACTTGAGATAACTTGTAAAGAATTCTGGAGATTTTTCTTATATTCTTCCAAAAGAAAAAGAGCATGGGAATTGCACACTGGGGTTTAAAGAAACAGATTCTAAAAGCATCCAGAATTGTGAGAATAAAATGAAAAAGAATTATTGAAGATATCAAAATTCCACTTAAAAAATGAGATGCTGACAAAATTCTGTTTCAACTCTATGAGGGACAAGGAAAATAATTTTTAAGAGAATAGTTTGGCATAACTCTGCTCTCTGCTACTAAACCTCAAAAGAGCAGAACTATACCAAAACTAGATGCTTTTGGAAATTCACTCCGATTCTAAGAATTTTGTCACTGGCTCACAATTATAGAAACAGTTGGAATCTCAGTATGAATGCAATATGCAAACACATTTACAGCAACATAGTTTGCCAGCTTAAATGTCAGTTTAAAAAAGTAAATGAAAACTAAAATGTACATCTTTACCTGATAATCAAATTCAACCTACTGAATTCCAGAGGTCTGCAGAAAACAAACAAGTATTCAGAAGTAAATGTGTTCTAGCAGCACTGAGTGGCTATGTTAAACTAAGAGTCTTCTCAGCATTTCTATTACAAATTTGATCAACAGCTCAGCCACATAAACTATCTCTAAATGACAGTTGGCCTACACTCAGCCACCCAAATTTTTTTTAATGTTAGTGGCTGGACTTCAGATATTATCCCATACTTGCTGATATCTAAGCTATTGAAGGCCAGCAGAAGTACTCAGTGCTTTTTTGAAATGCTTTTTTTCTGACATTGAAATTATACCTTTTGTCAGCCCATGATTCAGAGCAGCCTCAGAAGCATTTACTAAAACATCCGTAATGGTAAGATTTGAGCACAAGCAGCCCCCACCAAGTGCTACAGTACCTATGGATTGACTACACTACTTATGGATTTTACTTGGGATTTGGATTGCTACATACAATTGCCAGTAAAATTCACATTATTTGTAAGGAGAGTAGTTCAGAGCACAAAGTGATGGTGCAGAGTGAACACTCCTTTCTCTCTAGTAAATGTTACTGTATGTCCCGTGATAGCCATTATCTGCTCTCCAGGTTCTCTCTTTTGTAGCTCTAAAGCCAGTCTCCACCACTACCCTGAGAAGTCCTTTTGTGGCTCAGCCAAACGGAGCCACAGTTGCACGCAGATCTCCTGGTGTCAGCCATCTCCTCCCCTACACTGGCCACTTCTCCCTCCTGCACCGTTCCTCTGATTGCAGGGTTACATGGTGAACAGGATTGGAGAGGACCATCTAGAGAGAGGAATGGCCACACAACGACATCCTGAGTCCATCAAGCCCTTTGGTAGCCACCCAGTGTCTCCAAACTCCGTGCTTAACCTTCAGCAGGCAGAGTGATCAGCAATTACTTTTATGGCCTTTAGCTTGAGATGAAAAATTATAACTCCCATCCCCAGTGTTAAAGGAGACAGAAAGGGCTCAAAATGGGCTTATGCCAAAGTAGGACTCCCAGAGCTTCTGAAGGACATCCCAGCATTTTGTTTTCCTTCACACACATAGAATAGATTTTGTCCATACCAGGAAAGCTACTGTTTTCCATTTTGTCCACTGCAAATAGGCCAATGAAAACATTAGGATTCTCTTTCTTTTTGGTTTTTGTTTGGTTGGTTGGTTTTTGTGGGGTTTTTTTCCCCGAGCTTTTTAAGTATTATAAATTAACTTCTGCTGAGTAAGTCAGTAGGTCAGAAAGGCTGTTCTACAAGTGCATTGTTTGTTTGTTTTTTAATTAAGTTTGAATTGATCACCACTCCTTTCATACCTCTCTTCATGGGACTATATCAGGATTTCTTTTGTTTGCTACTGATAGCATTGGATGAAGGTACCTCATAGTAGATCCTCTGTAAGCAAATCTGTCATTAGCTTTTCAACTGATCATAGATTTTCTAGGGACTCTGTCAATCTTGTTTGACTCCATTCCTTGATAAGTGATATATCACTGGCTGCAGGAATCTAACAAAACGTTCACTCTGTCCTCAGTGCATTGTCCAAGGTGGTTTTCAAGAGCCTGACTGTTCTATGCTGTATCTCTGCTAATATGGGTTTATTTGCTACTATAAGGCCGTGTTGTTTGTGCCTGTTTTTTCAACACAAGCTGCAGCTGGTGCCCTTCTTCCACCTCTTTCTTCATCAGCCATTGCAATTGTATTTTCATAAACCTCCATAGTTTTTAGTTGCTTGTCTTTGGCACCCTCCTGTTCTGCATTGACTTTGCAGCACTTGCAGAAGCCGCAGCAGTGTTTCCCACAAAAGGCAAGTGAAGACATAATTATATTGTCCCAGGGCTCTAGCGAGTGCATCCAGACAGGTAGGAAATCCCAGTTTTGGAGCTTCTCAGGCAGTGAATGTGGTCGCCTCTTCTGCATAATATTAATTACAACCACAGCAATAAAAAGAGCAAACAAAGGAAGGCAAACACCCAGAAGGACTGGCCAGCCTGCCAGTGACAGACCAAATACAAACAAAGGCAAGAGAAAGAAGCAGAGAAGGAGATAAAATATAGCAAACCATCTGTACTGGGCTGTTATGTTTCCCAGGGTCTTGGACATGCGGATTGGCAGCCGGGTATAAGGTAGCGGGTAAAACAGAATAATCCCAGAGATATTGAAGAAAAAGTGGCACAAGGCAATCTGAAAGCAAAAACATTTGAGAAGTTCATTAGCCAAAATGCCTTTAAATGCTCCTACCCACATGGTAATAACTTCCAGCGGCACTAAGACTCCATGGTTTCCCTTCCCTTGCTCCTCACTGTTTTTTTTTGGGTTTTGTGCCATTTCCCTGCAGAGCCTTTCCTAGCACAAAACAAGGACTTGGTATTATCTTCCACATTGTAAAGATCACTGTCTACAAACAGGGGACAGAATTTGGAGACAAGGCAAGCATAGAGGGGATGGCGTATCTCCCCGCAGATGGAGAGGTCTTAAAATGCAGCTTTCAACTGCAAGAAGTGGAGTCCATTAGAACTAAAGCTGACAAACCAAGCAGCTATCATGGAATAAGTATGTTGTTAGTAAGGCATGAGAACTGCTCATTATTGGGTTCTGCATTCATAAGTTTTCAATTGAAAGATGGGAAGTGTAAATTAGATATAGCATACAGGCTATTGAGAAATTGTTAGTGGTACAAACCTGGATTTTACAAAAATTAGCTAAAAGTTTATAGGGCACTGAGGAGATTCCTGGAATGTGACTTTGAGACTTTTATAATCATTTAATTCACATACTTCAAAATCGCTTTTTAAAAAATAAGCGTGAAGAAACACCTACTCGTTAAAGCTTTCAGAAGTCGCTTAGACAGAATAAGCATATACTGAACAAAACAGTACATGACCTGCTCACCTTATCTTATTTTCATTCTATAACTGTTATCAGACTAAAGTAAATATAAAAGTACAGGGTTTATTTTTAAAGTACGTTATAAAAACAGCAAGTTATCATGAAATCTGAGCTTGGTCAAGATAGTATCTTCTCATGATTACATCTGTTCTATCATGCCTGAGGACAATAAAATGACTTCTGTAATTTTCTTGATTTATTGTGGCTAGTAAAAAACATTCATCCTATTCACAAAGGAAACTTCATTATCTTTTCACTCTTTGATGTAGAGGGTTCATTCAAATGTTATCTGCCACCTGGAATGTTCTTTACTGGGTAGTAAATGGAAGCCCAAAGCCTGGCTACCTACTTTTCAAATAGTCTGAAGCAACAAGGAATTCAATAAAACCTACTCAGATTAGATTTACAATGAGAAAATAGATCTCATGATGCTCACTGCAACTTCAGGTAGGTAGACAGCTTGCCACCTTAAGGGCTGTACAGCCTTCACCTAGGTTACAGGAGTCCCTGTACACTGCATGGACAGAGTTAGGGTCCTGAGGAGGGAACTTACAGAAATTAGTAACTCTCATAGGGGACTGCCTAAGAGGGTTGTCAAAGATGCAGGCACTGAATTCCAAGCTGCAGAGACCCCATGGTCAGGGGTCAAGCAGCCCACCCTTCCTCAGTTCTGAATTAATTCAGTCAGATCAAGTCCGATTTACTAAAGAAAGATTCTACTATATATTAACATTCTGGGAATGTTTAGTACAATCTTCTTGCTGTAGCAGTTGAAATTAATAAACTGTCATTAATAGCACACACAAAATCAGGCATGACATCCATGGCATATTTGCATCAGAGCCTATTTTGTCAGGTTTTTCTTCAGAAAAATTGCAGCTTCTAAATGAAGACAAGGAATCATTGGTTTATACTGACCTGTAATGAATATTTCAACGTACTCCCTGGACTTGCTAAAGCTGCAAGTATAGCTGTTGTGGTTGTGCCAATGTTAGCTCCTAGGGTAAGGGGATAAGAGCGCTCAATGCTTATAACGCCAATGCCTAGAAGAGAAGAAACAGGATTGAGTGGTTTCAAAATTATGGAGAAGATAAAATATGGAGATAAGAATACAGCATTGACAACTTACCAACAAGGGGTGTAATAGCAGATGTGAAAACAGAACTACTTTGGACAACAAAGGTCATACCAGCCCCTGCGAGCATAGCCAGGTATCCAGCTAGCCAAGTGAAAGGAAATGGGAAATCTAAAAAAAGTAGAGGGAGAACATTGTCTTTAGTATAACAGAATGCTCTGTGGAACAGTAACACTGCAGTGAAAAGACTATTAAGCATTTCAAATGTAGATACATTGTTTGCATATTGTCTCTTAAATGACAGTTTTGGGTCAGTGTCAGTTCTACTACTCTAATGTACCCTGTTCACTGTACTCCCTCTCCAGCCTTCCAACACTGGATACACTTAGAGATGGATACTAGACTAGGCAGACATTTGTCCTGACCCAGAGTAGCATTTATGTTGTAATACAATTAGGTACCAGAAATGTTTCTACAGAGGCAACACAAAAACTCCTGGGTGTCTTGAGTGTCTTGGTTTCGACAACCAGGCGCCTGCTGCATGCACTGGATATTCAGAAAGTTCTGAAGACCATTATGAGAAAATCAGGTTGTTTGTTCTGTTTTCAAGTGGATGACCTAAAAATTCACTTGTTAGCACTTGCAAAGAAAAACTAATCTCACTGATTAGAGAAACTAGGCACAAGGGTCCCCTGTAGCCTGCAGATTTATAAGTGAGCCAATAAGTGAGGGCGTAATCAATCAGGAAGGCGAAGAGGTACACAGAGTAGATCACAAATGAACAGTAACTGGCAGCTGATTACTTTCTAATCCTTGTGTTTAATTCTGGCAGTGTTGCTTGCTTGTGAGAAGAGAAGACAGCATGGGGACCACTTTGTTGCATTCCCTATTTCTGTGAACCCTCTCTTCAACCACAGTCAGAGACTTGCCAGGACTGCTTTTCTCTGCTACATGTTCTAACATCTCCACGCAAGGGAGGATGAAGAAAAAGCAGCCAACATGAAAAAAACCCAACATTTTCACTCAATGGGTCCAGGCTGAAAAAACACCTAGAGAACACAGGGAAAGACAAAAAAGTACCACTATTCGGGTCTGCCTTATCCCACTGAAGAGAGAATGAAGCAGTGGAAAAGGGCAAGCAAAGGGAATTAGATCATTAATCACTACAAACTTTTTTTCAACTTACTTTAGAAGAAACATGCAGGCTCTTTACCAGAGCAAGCAATCACAATCTCAGCACTTCAGCGCTATCTTTTGAGGATGGGAACATTACGTTTCGAACAGCTAATGATTATACATCAAGAAACAGAGCCTGGACTTTGGTCTCTGCTGCTGTTAATCTGCTGCAGTTCCCAAGAAAGCTGTTCACTAATAGATTTTTAAAAGGAAGAAAATAACATGCTTGGGAGAAAAAATGCTAGGGGGAGGGGGGGGGGAGGGTGCGATTTTTGTTTAATACTGTTTTCTTTCAACTATACTAGAGTATCTGCCAGAACAGGAGATATCAATAAATGTGCTCAATGTCCTTGTCAGTCCTGAAAACAATCTTCAGAAAAAGCAGATAATTACCAGTGTTGATTGTTTTCTTGATAACGCTGGCCACTTGTCCTTTAAGCACAGAGTTTAATAGCTTAACGATCATCACCAAACAGGAGCACAGAACAAGCAGGGACAAAGCCAGGAGGATGAGACCGATACCAAGATCAGGCAGGTCTGCGTCTGCAAAGAGATGCCGGCCTGAAAAATAAAAAGAAAATGAATTGGCCTAGACACATTTTTGCTTCTGATTCCAAGCCCAGCTTTGGTTTTCATACATGCCCCTAAGAAAATAGGATCAAAGCACACACAGCCTGAGGGGGTGATGTGAAGAGTGAAAATGCCACCTCCCTTGCTCCACAAAAGCATATCTGAGGAGGGCAAGGGGGGCTTTTGTGTGGTCATGCTTATAAAATACACAGTGGGCAGCCCTGCAGGGCAGGCAGGAGCTGGGTGGCCATATTCAAGGGAGAGGAATAGAACAGTGTGAGGAAATCTTGGTGTGCTCCAAGCTGGATGGTGGGTTGGCTCTTCCCAGAGGTGTCTGTGTGCCTGAGAAGGGCTGCTGAAATTCCTGAAGGGCATGCATAGGGATGGAGATATCCGAGCAACCATCACAGCAAAGTAACTATAGCTCCGAGTCACCTGAACAGCAGGGGTGACATGATACTGAAGACCTCAGTTGCTGATATCAGGGAGCATGGAAAGAGATCCATCTGCAGCCAGATACCATGATGATGCTGGCAACTGCAGCTGTGTAGCTATAACAGCGCATGGGCTGCTCTGACTGCACCTGCAGTCAGTAACACCTTGTGTCAATATGCGGTCGGGTGCCTCTCAATATACCTCTGCAGTGGTCTGTTAACACCATGAGAAAGCTATATACATTTGTAAAGATACTACCAAAAGAGAAATAGTTCTACTGCTTACATTTACTGATATATTCTGTTTCAGTTATATTCTTGAGGGTCCATGTCACGTTTCCTTCAGTCCAGCAAAGGTCAGAAGATGTACAGTTTTCTGAAGGTGGAATTGTGACATTCTGCAGTGTCTAAAGATTGTCAGACAAATCAGATAGTTCAGTCACCTACAACCCTTCATTAAGAGCTCATGCAAAGTTCTAGGTATTTACTACAACTAAACATTCATCAGCTAAAGGCAGATTTGTGAGCTGGAGTGTAAGGTGGCACCACATTAATGACAAGGCAAAATTCTTCTATTATTAAAATAAATGGCTGTGCTGTTATCCATGTCAATCGATACAACATTTAAATATTAAAATATCCCCCAAGGATATTTTGTAATCACCATAGCACCAAGCCATTACTAGTTAAGAAACTTAACTATTGATGTCAGGGTTTGTGGAATGAGATTCATGTCTGGTTGCAGCTGGGAAACAGTGACATTCCTTATCCAGACAGTGCCACAACTTCTTTGGGGGTCAAAGAAAGATCTCTTTACTGTCCTCTTAAGTGCTGTTAATGGTCCTGTGAGTACTGCACAGGACTGTGATTCAGTGCTGTGAATACTAGTGCAGCCTCTGTTGTGGATGAGCACAGGCTGCTCATGCTGTTCTGTGCCTGTTTTCCTGTCTGTAGAATTAGAAGTGCTGCTACTTTCCTTTTTAAAGCTCATATACCAAGAGATAATTACTAGCACTATGATTAGTATTAGTATTACTGAGCTGAACGTGAATTTCTATTTACACCGCAATAAAACCTTCCTTGTAAGAGCTCCTAGCCCAGACACACTGCATTCTGACACTAGGTCCATTAGTCCTCATGCAGATTGAGGAAGAGTTTGCTGACTGAACTGTACTCCACCACAACAGCAGCTAACAGCCAAATGGACTCTGAATCACACTGCTGAACAGGGGTTAGCTTTAAGATGTGTTTAAGTGATTCTCTTTTGCAGAAACAGGGAAAGAGAAATCATATATTCTTGCTGGGCACAGCCACAGGCACCCGCATTCTCATTCCCTCTTCAGCTGACGCAGATGAGCAAAGATTGGGGGGGGATCCACTGCCCCCACATCTTCAGGGAGCACCTGGTCTCCAGCCTCCCCAGTATGTCAGCCTTCACAAACACAACACAATGCTGTTTCTCACCTTTCTGAATTTTTTTCTGTCATCTGAGTTTCAAAGTAGCTGCATGTGATCAAAATGTTTATCCCTATATTTTGCTTTAAACATACAGGGTCTGTATGTACTCACCCCTGGCATAAACCTCATAAGTAAGCCTGTCTAATCATTTTTGAAAGAAATTAGTTTAACCCACTAGGAATGTCAATCATTTAAATGATCTTTCTCTTCCCCCACCAAGTTCAAGCCAAGATTGTAGGGATTTCATGTGGGTTCTGTAATTTAACTGCATGCTTGGGCAGTAGTTACACAACCAAAATACAGACAAACAGAAAAACCTGCATACATGGAAATGTAACATTTTCTGTGTAGTTGTTAGTCTTCTAAGAATGGGGTGACTGTAGGACTTAGGGGCTCAGACCTCACTGAGAGTTAAGTTGTGCCTGCCCAGTGTGTCGCCGAGTGTGGGCTGGGGGCCTGAAAGCAGTACAGCTGCCGGAGCATCATGCATCCCGTGAGATGAAACACCCAGCTCCTCAGTAGTGTAACCTGAGCAGAGTTTCACATTAGCACAGCTCTGCTCCTGGCACTATCTCCCTAGGTAGCATTTCACTGGCCATCCAGACCGTCATTCAATAGGAGCTGGGCTCCACTAAAAACCCAAGCACTTAATTTTAACCTCTGCTGTCCTTAAGTATCTTCTGCCTCAGGACTTCAGGAATTACTTTCCTATACATAACAAGTAGAATAATTAGAGATCCAAGGGATATTTAATTCTCTAATTGTTAGTTAGCTGAACAATGTAAACCAAACACTCAGCCCTACAGTTTACCAAAATACTCATTGGTGTCGGATCTTGGCAACAGATTCCTTCAAGCTGCAGAGTTGCTTGAGTGAAAAACAACAGGACATAGCCCCACAGAGGCTTCCTTCAGGGGCAGTTTTCCAAGAAAGCTACAAATAACCAGCTGCCACCAGATGACCCTAACGCATGTAAGACTAAAGCTGGTTAGATCGATAGATAAATGGTGGGCAAAAAGATACTTTCTTTGGCCTATATTGCAGATTTTTTTCCACTTTCAGGGAGTAAGTAGAAGTATCGTTATTTAAAGGCATTTGGATGTGAAAGGCGTAAAAGGCTTGGCTGCAAACCACCACCTCTGATAAGCAAGGGCCTCCATGGTACCAAAAGCAACCAGAGCAACTAGTATGACATCCTTGGTTTAAGTGGAACAGAAACTACATTACATTGTTTTCATTCTTTTTCTGCTGAAAAAAATACTCATTTAAAAATCTGATTTTGCAATCCAATGACAAGGAGTGTCAGCTACAGATCAGTAATATATTTCCTGAGGAACCTGACAATTTAGCGTGATACTCACCACATTGGTTTCAGTTACACACCAAATCTTTACCAGGCTTTTGTTTTTTGCTGATTCATCATTTGTAGCAATTGCATTTATTACTGATTTATCAAGCTTTAAAAAGAAAAAAAAAAAAAAGAAGAAAAAAAGGACATTATTCCAACTTGCACCACACAGTTCTGTTCAGCTCTACTGAAATAACTCCCTTTGGAAGCTCAGCCACTTAAAGCCTGCATGACCATCTCTAATGTTGGAGCTGCTGCCCAACAGGTAGGAGGAGGTTTACGCCCAGAAAAAGGTACAACTCTATGCTCACAAACACTGTGTCTCATTCTCTTCAAATCACTCACCACCTCATCTCACCCTTTCTGTTTAAACAGCTACACAGGCACAACTGCCTAAATGCATTTACCGTCATTTTAGGAGCAGCTCGCATCCCCCCTGGCCTCCAGCTGTCCCTCTAAATGTGTGTGAGCTACCCATAATTTCAGTGTCCTCTCTTCAGGTCCTGTGCAGATCTTCTGGATGTGCTAGGCTGTCTCAGCTAGTACTATCTCCCAATGTCTAAGCAACATCCTATCCATCCTATGTGGCTGTATTTGTCCTTACCTGCCCTCTCAGTTCTCCTAGCTAGGTCTATAATTTTTAAGGTGAAGTGTGAGGGAAATAGAGACATGAAATATAGAGCTGGAGCTTTATGAAATGTGAGTAAAAAAGATAATCTATCTGCTAATGAGCTTTACCCTGAGGACACAGAAGAAGTGAGAGAAAGCCTCCCTCCACATATTCAGAGCATGTTGATTAGCTGTGACCGAACCAAGTAAGCAGCTTCCTTGAAGAGAGAAAGAGCTTACCTCAATGATGAGCTTGGTAAAGGGGTCTGTGATAACTTTTAGTAGCTCAGGGGCATCCTCACCACTTTCAAGATGAAAGGACTCAACTATAACATTGGTGAGATGGTAAAGATAGCCAGAAATAACTTCAATGGGCAACAGTGCAAACACAGCGAGCCAGTTAAAGAAATCATGGATTGTTGCCCCAGCAAAGGCCCTGTGAAAAGAAATTAAAAACCAGAGCTGCTTTTAATTAAATGACATGTGCTCAACATTAATTAAATATGAAATCATAGAAGGGGTGCTGAAACCCATTTCAAGATGAGAATCATTTAATTTCTGGGGTCATAGGAGATGGCTACTTTGCTACAGAGTGCTAAGTTGTCTCCATGCCATTGATGGAGTGAAAGAGGTAGCTAGGTGAGTGAAACAAGACAAACTAGAAAAGGCAAAAGTGATCCTTAACACTAGGCTGCCATGAGTACTTGTCTGAAGAAAGAAGTGGCTGTACAGCCTACATTTGTTTTGCTTTTCGCCCATTTCTGGTACATTTTAAATCTTCAGTCAGGCATTGCCTCTGCGACCTGTTCTCCCTGACTCATGGAGGAAGACACAGCTCTTTGCAACCCTCTCCTACCTTCTTGCAAACCAATGGCAAGCCCCCTTCCAGCTTCTCCACAGCCTAAGGAGCCACAGCTCTTCCCTCAGAGGCTTTGGCTAAGTGTATTTCATATGTCTGGTATGCTATAAATGACAAGGTACCAGAGTCTCATAAGCCTCCCAAGTTTACTGCCCATCTCCAGTAAGCCATGAGGTCTCAGTGATAATGTCAAGTGGCGGTCCAAAAGTTGTCACTGTATATATTTGACAGCCAGAACACTTAATTTCTCTACAGTTAACAGCTCTTGCTTACTGTAGACTTAAAAAACTTTCAACATTGAAGTCTCTTCTAAGGAGAGTAGACCCAAATACTGTAATAATAACTACAGCCCTCATAATTAAGAGATAATCAAAGGTGGGTGGTACAGTGGGAGCAGTTGAAAATTTTTCTTTGTGCAAGAGCTAGTTAAAAATGGTGGATTCTTACAAAACCACAAAATCCAATATGCTTTTCTTCAAGTATATGAAGCCATATACCTAGTCAGCATTATACCTTGACCATGGCCATGCTTGTGACTTTGCTAACTAGACATTCATATTTTGGTGAATGGCTGTAGCAGTGACAGGGAATATAGAAGATAACCCACAAAGAATGAAAAAAAACAACTTTCTAGTGTTTAAGTACAATACCTTCTAAATTCATTCCTGTCCCCAGCTTGCATGAGCGCCACAATCGTGTTTGTAACTGAGGTGCCAATGTTTGCTCCCATTATGATAGGAATAGCTGATTGAACAGTCAGCACTAGAAAGCAGAAAAGGAAGCACTGAATGAAGAAATCAGATCATCAGCAAGCTCTTTGCTCCAATGAAAATTAACATCTATTAATGTCACTGGAACCCTGACTTCCCTTGATGTCACCAGGATTATGCATTCCAATACAGATGTGTTTGCTTCAATCAAGCCCCCTGGGAATGTGGTACGCCCATAATCCCATGATCCCCACTGAAACTGCAGTCCAAGGTTATCCCTTTTCACCACATGTTAAGAGGGCCAAAGTAAGATAAAGTCTCTTCTTTCCCAGACATTTTCCTACTCACTGCAGAATTTTGAAATGATGCTACAGAAACAAATGAAGCTCAGTAACTGGATAACAAGAGAAAAGTATGCAGATACTTCCAAAATTAATGCATTCAATGCCAAGGCTTCCAATAATTTTCATTACAGTTGTGGACTTACTTACTACTACTACTATTATTATTATTTAAGATTTTATTTTATATCAGGACGACAGCTGTGAAAATCTTTTACTTCAGTCTCTACTTTACACCCAAATCTTCTACAACTTGAACACAGGAAGCAATGTTTGCACCCCAGACCAAGATTTATGAGTGATCTCTAGGAAGATACTGCAAGCAGACTTACATGTGGAGGACACCATGCTGACCACAATGGACGAAGAAGTGCTGGAGCTCTGGACCATAACAGTCACCAGAACTCCAATCACCAATCCCGCAACAGGATTAGACAGCACTGAATCATCTTTAAAAATATCCCCTGCTGCTTTACCTACAAAAAACATATTTCTCGGAGTGAGGGAAGTGCAAGGTAAAGTCCATAGGAATTATCAGAGCATTTAATTAAAGATCATTCAACCATTTAATTCATACATAAATAGCCGTGCTTGGCAGCCAAAAACTGTACAGGATGATGTAGCCCAGGGATCCTAACTCAGGTCCTGAACTCTCAGCTTCTCAGTTATCAGAAAATACTTTATATTCTCTCATTTCAGTGACTGAACAAGCTCTGCTGAACTCTGCAGAGAACCGTATAAAACCACAGCCATCAGAGGAAGGACTGTAAGGACAAAAAACCCCACACATGCATAGATTTAAATCATCCTGCTGTCTTGATATTTTTTGTTACTGCATCAATGACAACTATTTTAATAATCATGAGTAATTTTATTCTTGTAGCTTTCTGTGTTGCCAAAAATCAAAAATACCTCCACAGAAGCTCACATATTTCTCTGATAACTGCTTCTGAATCCATCAGCAGAATTCAACCCTTGGAGACAGGTAAATGTGAAAAATACACGTCAATAGTTTTCGTCCTTGAAGGACTTGGGGGATATTTCAGAATGGATACTTTGATCAAGAGCACAATTTTCATATTTCACCTTGTTGAACTGTCTTGCACATCGGACAGATTTATACACAGATGTATTCATGTAAACTTTCACTAAAGTAATAGGAACCTAATAAGAAATCAGGGCAAGTAATAGCTACATCAACAACCAACAACGACCAAGCTCTTTGGAATTTGAGAAACAAAGACCCTTTCCAACAAATGAAGGTTAGTCTTCAATCAGAGCTAATTCTGAATCTATATCTCAACACATAAATCTATGGAGAATGTTCTTGAAGAGTTATACTTGTAATTTAGTCACTCAGATGAAATTTACTGGCCCATTCATAGTTTATTCTTGATATTTTAGACATTTTCATACCTCCTACCAGTTGAAAAGCAGAGCTCAGTACATCCAGAGAGCACACAAACATGTAGAGTAATCCAAGTAGCATAATAAACTTCCCTATCCCGTAGAGCACACGAATGATTTTTCCTTTTCTATCCAGTTCTGCAAAATAAATACATTATGCATAAAAGACCTGATTGATGTATCTGGTGTTCTCTCTAGAACAGTCTAGCACACAAGCAGAGACTGTAGAGTCAAAGACAGTGTTATGACCTCAGTGTGTGATTAAACCTGAAAGAATGTTCTTTTTAATCCAATTTTAACTGCAGAAGCAGGTAGTTCATTTACCTGGTTCTACCATGTGAAAACATTTGGTATATGACAAAAGCCTTATGAAGTCTGAGATTGACCCTTGGTTTTACACAGTTATCCTACCAAGAAAAGAAAGGCCATTAGAAGCCTGGATATAATAATATTTATTTTGGATTGTTTTCCATATATGTCCTTCTGTTTTAAGGAGCGTAAGCATGATCTCCAGATTCTGCTTAACTTACTAAATGTAATATCCCCATTCACTTCTGGGGAAGATGAGACAGAGTGTAAAGTCTATATCTGAAAACTCCTCAAATCTTAAATTCAGTTCTGCAGAAAATATAATTTCAGAAAAATAACCAAGGCAAAGAGAGCAGAAGTGATGAAAAAAAATACATGCAGATAACTTATTTACTGAGAAATGGCTACCTGACCACTTGACCCCCGTGTCCTGTAGTTCCGGCAGAGCCCATGGGTCTTCTTCTTCCTGCCTTGTCTCATCTATCAAGGCTATTGTGGAAAATGCAGGTTGAATTTCCCCTTTATTTCCAAGTGAAGTCACATTGCCTGATGAAATAGAGCATTTAAAAAAATGGTTTAATTACTTTCCATCTTCTCCAAGGAGACCCAAAACTAATATATCTCTGTAACTCACAGGTGAGCACATATTACCTTTGTGATTTTCCCCTTCTTTCCCAGCCATGTTCTGGTTTTGTTTGGAAGAGTCCCCAATATAGTTATTGGTTTCAGGCTTTTCCACCTCAGGCCAGGGAGCCATGATCTGTGACTAACAAAGTAGTGCTGATTAAAATGCATGCGCGGTCAAAATCTTCAACTTACAACAGGATACATGAGAAATATGATTACGTCTACAAGCAAAAGAGATGGAAGTGGAACGGAAGCAATTTGTCCTTAAACACAGCTTTTTGCCTCAGTCTTTACTGGCAAGTGCTCCAGCCACTTCACCCAAGATGCAGAAGGCAAAGGCAGGGACTGGGAGAATGAAGAACCACCCACTGTAGGAAAAGATCATATTTGAGACCATCTAAGGAACCTGAAGGTGTACAAGTCCATGGGACCTGATGAGATGCATCCATGGGTCCTCAGGGAACTGGCAGATGAAGTAGCTAAGCCACTATCCATCATACTTGAGAAGTCGTGGCAGTCTGGTGAAGTTCCCACTGGCAGGAAAAGAGGAAACACAACCCCAATTTTTAAAAAGGGAAAAACAGAAGACCCAGGAACTACAGGTCAGTCAGTCTCACCTCTGCCCTGGAAAGACCATGGAACAGATCCTCCTAGAAACTATGCTAGGGCACATGGAAAATAAGAAGGTGATTTGTGACAGCCAACATGCCTTCACTAAGGGCAAAGTGTGCTCAACAAATTTGGTGGCCTCCTATGATGGGGTTACAGTGCTGGTGAACAAGGGAAGAGCAACTGATGTCATATACCTGGACTTATGCAAAGCATTTGACACTGTCCCACATGACATCCTTGTCTCTAAATTGGAGAGACATGGATTTGTCAGATGGACCACTTGGTGGATAAGGAATTGGCTGGATGGTCAAAATCAAAGGGATGTGCCATCCAGAGGGACCTGGACAGGCTGGAGAGTTGGGACCAGGCAAACCTCATGAAGTTCAACAAGGCCAAGTGCAAGGTCCTGCACGTGGGTCAGAGCAGTCCCAAGCACAAATACAGGCTGGGCGATGAGTGGATTGAGAGCAGCCCTGCAGAGAAGGACTTGGGGATATTAGTGAATGGAAAAAAGTCTGTGAGCCAGCAGTGTGTGCTCACAGACCAGAAAGCCACCCACGTCCTGGGCTGAATCAAGAGAAGTGTGAGCAGCAGATTGAAGAAGGTGATCCCTCCCCCTGCTCTCATGACACCCCACCTGCAGTACGGTGTTCAGCTCTGGGGCCCCAATAGCAGAAGGACATGGACCTGCTCGAATGAGTCCAGAAGAGGGACCTGAAGATGATCAGGGGGCTGGAACACCTCCCTTCTGAGGACAGGGTGAGAGAGTTGGGGTTGTTCAGAACGGAGAAGAGAAGGCTCCAGGGAGATCTTATAGTGGCCTTCCAGTACTTAAAGGGGGCTACAGGAAAGATGGGGAGGGACTCCAGTGATAGGTCAAGGGGTAACTGTTTTAAACTGAAAGAGGGTAGATTTAGATGAGATATAAGGAAGAAATTCTTTACTGTGAGGGTGGTGAGACACTGGCACAGGCTGCCCAGAGAAGCTGTGGCTGCCCCCTCCCTGGCAGTGTTCAACCAGGTTGGACGGGGCTTTGAGCAACTTGACCTAGTGGAAGGTGTCCCTGCCCATGCAACGAGGTTGAAACTAGACGATCTCTAAGGTCCTTTCCAAGCCAAACCATTCTATGATTCAATGATTTTTACTAATCTTTATTAATTATTCCTTTATTTGCAAAACTGATTTCTCAGTTATTTTTTAAATCACACAGTTATTTGTGCAATTTACACAGTTTTTAAAAATTACTTCCATCTCCTGCCTGTATTTTTGTTTGCTTTTAACTGTCATGAAAGCAAAGATTCCTTTGCTTTCCAAGCCTTAGACGTTTATTTTCTTTAACTCATGTTATCTCCTTTCACCAAAAAGTCAGACAACTGTTTTACTTTATTCCACCCTCTGAATTTAACTGACTGCTTTTACCAAACTGGTAATTCAACATACAGACCTTAACAAAGAAAGTTCTTCCCTAAAGCATTACCTAGTTTGGGTCATATATGCTAAACACAATCTTTTGGTTGCCTTTAATGGTTCATTCCCATGGAAGCATGGAGGGGAACATGACCCTGGACAAGGTGGAGGAAGACCCCAGAGTTTTGAGCTCCAGAATGATGCTTGCTGAATGACTGGACAAGACTGTAATTAGACTGCAGTGGTCATTTGCAGATCTATATTTGCTTGTAACTCACAGCTGCTGCTGCAAGTGAAGCTGAGTTAGTGGCAGCAAAGTCAGGCTCACCCATCTCACGTAGGCTCTCTGTCTGAACCTCTTCCTTCCTGACCCCTTTTGAGCACATTTGACATGCATTGTAACATTAATAAATAATAACTTAAAAAATAAGACATCACATGACCAAATCCTGCTGGCACAGGTACAAGCACATATGTCAGACCTAGCCCAGGCACAAGAGAAGGAGGCAGATGTTCCTTGAACCAAAACCTAGAAGAGTCCTACTTATTTACTTCACCAATATCAGAAGCCAGACATGGAAGAGAGGGAAGGTGACCATGGGAAGCCAAGGCAATATATGATAATATTTCTACCTTTCCAGGCTTGTGAGGCTGTTGATTATCTCAGCCAGCATGATCGAAAACTCAGTGGAAAACAGCCTCACCTTTGGATCTGTCTTCTTCCACCCTGCAATGCTCCTCATAAACAGGCACCTGCACCCAGCCTCCAAAAGTCAGTGTCAGAGTTGGCATCATGCTCCCGTAAACAAGGTTCACCTGCATTTAGCTGCCACTCTAAGGGACTATAATTAATCATTTAATCATAATCCTTTATGCAGCTGATGGTGAAAATATTTTGTCCCTGCCCATGTCAATAAGCCACATATCCTCCTCCTTTAGCTGGGAGGGAAATGTCACAGACAAAATCACTCTTATCTTACTGTAACAGAGGAGTGTATTGTTTTCTGGCACTACACAAAGAAAATAGTATCTCCCCTTCCACATTAGCAGGAGAAATCATTCTACAATCCTATTAGCAAAAACTATGCTTTTACACACGCTTTATCTGTGGCGTAAGATCCAGAGCAGGTCCCATGATACACAAAGATCTCAGAACAGATGGAAAAAAAAATCATTCTTGCTTGTTTCAACAAGCGTTTCCATTTGCTTGGAGCAAATTCTCATATTTTCACTCATGCCAGAACAACCTCCAAGCCCCACCCATGCCAAAACACCTCCATCTTGTTAAACAAGTTTCGTTTATAAGTGTTCAGCATTTAAAGAGCTCTAAAAAAATAACTGCTCAGCACAAGTGCTTCTTAAGTGAAAGGCAATCATGAAAATGCATTGGAAATTCAGATGTGAAGTTGCATTGACAACATATTCCCACCATGGAGTGACCCAGAATATGCTGGACACCACCAGCCCTAGAAATGCCATCAGTACTTCTACAGCTCTTCTGTCACGCTCAGCGTGGAAATGAAGGATTCAGCCTGCATGATTACGGTAGGGAAACTGAGCCAATGCATTCACTGGAGAAACTGAAGCTTGAAAACTTCAGCAGAAAAACAGCCTCTATGTCTCCTAAAAAAACTCTCCCCGTTCAAGAATTCATCAGGGCATTTTTTCCTAATAAGCATCTCCCATGTTCCTGAGGTGTTCAGGATCCCACAGGTACGTCATGTATTATTATTGTTTTTGTTTTATGTGATTAAATACCATAGAATGAGAGTGGACTACCTCTGTGGAGGAAGTTTTTTTATAGGTATGTATATAAATCATTCATATGAGCCCTAGCAAACTTCTGATTTGAGAAGGTAGACTTGAATACTGGAGGTATTTACAGCATCTGCCTTGTGGATTTGGGTTTGCAGAGGTATTACTAGAACAGCCTATTCTGTGTGATTGGTATCAAGGACTGATGAAAGCAGAACCATCTAGATCCTTGAAGTGCTACCAAAGCTGCCAGCTTTCTCCAGATCCTGACTCTTGTTAAGAGGCACAGCTGAGAAGATAGTTTACAGCCACCTGATACTCTGTTTGCTAGAGTCCTGGCCACAGCTACTTACTTACTGTTAATTAATCGCTGTGCTACAAGGATAATCTACATTCTACAGTTTTCCCTTCAAAGAATTATTCCTTGGCCCAAATACATACATTAGCATCTTGAGAAAATACTCCAAAGAAAATCTGGATGCTGTGGAGGAGCAGAGCAGTGGGGTGACAAAGCTAACTGCATCATTCCCTGGCAGCTCGTACGCGCTTTTGGAAAGGCTGACGTCAGGTGTGATATAAAAGACCAACATCATTGACGCAAGATATAAATGACAATGGAAACCCTAATAGTGGTTTACTTTTGAACACTGAGGACATAAGCACACTGCGAAGAACATGTTAGAGAACGGGCAGAGGATGGGCCAGTGACGATGCACACCGCAACAAGGAGCTATGTTCAGCTGGACGCACCGGTCCAGGTCCAGAGGCAGGATAGCCACAATTACTGGATGAGGTGCCCGGAGTGATGAGCTCTGCCCATCCCTCTGCCAGCCCACGTGCCTCAGTGCTGGGCGCCCAGATCCCGCCTCAGCCGGCAGGACACCAGTCAGGATCCCCGCACCCGGGATATAGTCATGGAGCCTACGTCCAGATAAGCATTGGCACTTGGGGTACCTACACATTTGGAACTGTGCTGAAATGGGAGCTAATTTCCTCCTGAAAGTGGCAGGTCAAAATATGCTATGCATATTGCAAAGGTCTGAAAACTAATGCCTGCGCAAACTGTAATCCAGTCCGTTTCATTGAACCTCACGGCAAATCCTCTCACATCGTCGTGTGTGCTCCTTTCCTTGTAAGTATAGTCTTTCCTTGCCTTTGGAAAATGCTAACTGCATGTGACATCCTTTCTAACTCTAAAAGAAACTGAAACCTCCCGCTCCTAAGAGGGAAATAGCTAGAAATCAATGGGATTCAAACTCTGAAATAAAATGTGAGCGAGAGAAAGTCAAAGCAAAAGTGGGCTCCCATGGTTTTTATATCCATATTGACTCTCTCACTGCAGCATTCCAAAGAGTTAAAGTCTCTGGGGAATTATCTGAGCAACACTAGGTGTCATGCAGTTGCCCTATATCTCGTTCCTCAGTGACTCATTGGACTGTAACAGCACTGCCTCTGTTGCAGGGCTAGACTCTCAGTGCTTTTTAGTTTTAAATCAGAAACAGTTGTAAACGTATTTATTTTGCTGGACTTAACATGGAGAATATGAACTACCATGTGCCTGGATGGTATTGTTTGTACCTCTCCACCCGTGACAGCTCAGTGAAAGGCCACGTTGTGTCTGAAATAAGAACTATGAAGCCGTAAGCCTTAAAGAAATCTCACCTCAAGGGAAACAGACCTAGTCAAACCAAGATGAAACAGAAGTACTGGAGAAAATAGCAGTATTTTCAAAACCAACTGGTAATAACTGCAACAACCACCAACATGATCATACATGTGCCTACAGGTTGTTTAAGACCTCCAAATCAAGTTTTGGGTTCAGTCAGGCTTTCCTCCTTCTCTCTCAGCCTATCTATAAAAACATATCCCTTTATTGTCATTCACCACTGTGTTACTGTTTTTATGTTAAAATAGGATTTATCAGCTAATCTGATATCTGACTATATGACTTGGTAAATATTAATATTTACCACACATGCTTCATAGGAACAAACACCAAGCTACACAGCAATCCTTCTTATACAGTTTGAAGAAATAGTCTTTTTCCCCTCAAAATGTGTCATTTCCAACACAGAAGCACGTTAAGTAGAGACAGGAAAGGAAAGATCCTCAGCCAGCACAAATTCATTCAGTAGCTTTACATCAGCTAAGAATTTTGCCCCAGAACCTGTTCCATGGCAGCCACTAAGCCCCAGGTGCAACAGAACAGGCAACGACTTAAATAAACACCAGCAATGATTCAGCCTTGTTAGGAGCAAGTCTTGCTTTGCTTTGGCACCAGCTGCTTTCTTGGAGCTTTTTCTCCAAATAAGTTAACAGGCTTAGCCCAGATGTAAACTTTCAACTGACATAACAGTAAAGGAAAAAATAGATATGTGAAAGCTAAAAAAAAAAAAAAGAGCATTGTGCTCACTGTTTATTCTATGGATCCCTGAGACATTGCTCTCAAGCTTGAATCTAACACATAGCAGAACTAAAACCACATATAAAACAAACTAATAAAGAGAACTCATTTCTAAGCAAGTGCAGACAGAAAATGAATCCCAAACATTAATTTTTGCATTCACAACCAAGCAAAGCACTAGACACTGCCACCGAGGAGCCAGAGCCAGGAAACATCAGTGAACTATTTGAAATGCCTACTAGGTATTTAAATAAAACAATTACTTTTTTAGAATAAAATAACAAGAAAAATAATAATCTCACCAACAAGAAAATACAGCAGCTATACCCCATCCCTAACACAAAACACATGGTAAAGAATCAAAAGAGGAAAAAGTAATATTTAAAAGACTTACTGATCTAATGGAAGAGCTGCTAATAAAAGTTACTGAGAATCCAGCTGATTTCTGCCTACTGCCACATTAGTTGAGCAAACTAGACTAATGTATTCCTTTTACCTCCGTGTATCAAACCAAATTAGCATAAGAAAATGTTTCCATCAGGAATAGCCTGACACGGCCATAGTGCAGCACAGACTTTACACACTATCTATGCTAACACATGAACTGACAGTATTTCCTTCCAATGTTTCATTAATCATATCCTAGACATTTTCCAGTATCCAATACCACTGATTACTGTGACTTAAAATCTCACTTCTTTTCAACCCAAATAATATTTAAAACACTACTTTCTTATCCTATAGGCAGTTATTTCTGGGGGTTTTTTGACAGCTGCTAATAAAATGCTTTTTTTCTTTATCATATTCCATAAAAATAAATCTAGTTATTTGCAGACAAAAATTAGCACAGTTTGTTTTCAGAGCTATGATTTTTTTATCACTTCCTTAAAATATAAATGCAGCTGAAAGAACACAAGGTGAAAATGCTCACAAGTGGATGACATTTCACATGCCACTCCAGTTCCCCACCTTAGCTCTCTGTTGCCATTCCTTGAGCTACAAAAGCTGAGCTTTGGATTTATAAGCTAAAGAAGTTCAAAAATGAAGAAAAGAAGAAAAAGAAAACTTGGTTTTAGTTATTCTTACTTACCACTTCTTTATTCCCAGACAACAGAGCGAACGGATCAGCTGGGCAGCCACTGAAACCTGCAATATATATAGACAGGTGTTGAGCAAAGTTTGCTTTCATCACTGCGTGCTAACATTCCTATTTTACAGTCCAGAGGCACTGCCTACCTGCAACTTAATGATCACAATCAACCTTTTTTTAGCAGGAGTGGGCAGCAACTAAGACTGATAAAACTACAGGCTATTTCACACTTATCACATTCTAAAAAATGTCCCATCAGCATTTAAGTACAAATTACTAATGTGTTCATGTGAATGCTGGGGAACGGTTTGTTCCAGCCTGAAAAACTGCTGTCCACCTGATCATTCAGTAATCTTTTTTCCAATAATAATTTTCAAAAAAAATTTTGTAATCTCAAAAGTCTGTCAAAAAGGTGTGAAGAAGATGTAGTACTGCTATTTGTCTGTTCAGGTGCCTATTAATCTGCCTAAGAACAGAAGTGAAGGAGAATCAGATAAAAAACGGTGTAAGTAGGAAACACGTAAGAACTTCTCTGAGAACAGAGGATGGAGTTTCATTCTTATCAGTGCTCAGTGTTTACAATTAAGGCAAGCTCATTAGCATTTTGGCTGTGGCTTCCCTTCTAAATGAGATTTAAAGATGTAAGGCCACCTTTGATAATTGCACTCAGAACACTAGTGAGGAAGAAGACTAGATGATAAATAGATACGTTATTCAGTAAATACAGTACAGTATTACAGATTAGAAAGCAGTCACTAGCACTGCTGTCTGTTCTACTGATGAGCTTAACGGGGACCAGGATGGGGGTGGGGGGGAGCTGCATTAGGCACTGTAGCTTTATTATCTTTGGATTTTTTCTGTTTCAACAAGTAACTTATACTGAGAAAATAAGCTGTAAACCAGCAGCCTAATCAGCAGATCTGCTTTGTCTGCGTGTATGCAGTCATATCTCCCAGCAGCTTAGTGACTTAGTAACTTAGAAAAATAAAACGCTTGGTTTTTCCACTTTTCAGTCCTGCAGAAACACCCAGCCTTTGGAGCTGTGAGTCAGAACTTACCCTTCACCTGTGTCGGCATCAGAAACGTTTAATAAGTGGTGATCGTAAAAGGCTCCACAGCCCCGTACGCAGCATCACATCATGGCAGCGGAGCCACCAAGCACCTCCCCCGGCCGCAGTGGCCCTGCTGGTGTATACCCACCGCCCCCCATTACCCTGGGCACGGCTGACGTTGGAGCCCAAGGATGAATGCACCAGCCCTGCCTCGCCCTTCCCAGCTGCAGTGCACTGAGATGGCTGTGGAAAGGAAAAGCATTTTCCATCTATGAAAAGCAGAGAACAGTCCAAAGTGATAAGAAGTGATGGAAAATGGATTCAAAGTCAACCTTGGTGGTTCACAGGCTTAGTTTTCTTAACAGAAGTGTACTTTAACACTGCATCTAAACCTAGTAGCTTTTCACTGATGCCCTACACGTAGGAAATCAGATGAAGCTTTTAACTGGGAATCCTCTGGGTTTCTCTGAGCCGTGGCTTATTCTCTTCTGAGTCACTGTTTGTGAAACCCAGCTCTGACAGTGAGAAGGTACCCAGGTAGGGCTCAGCCAGCGCATGGTGACGTCTTCCACAGCATTTTTATTCCAACGCTGCTCATGCCATTTGCTAAGCACAATCCTATGTGCTGACCATGTTAATGTTTTAGGAAGGTAACAATCCTAGGTCAGACCCATCGTATTCCCAGAAAAGAAAAACCAGTCACTCACAACAAAGGCATGTGATCTACAGTCTGTCTTTGGAAGCCCAGGGTGAGCCTTCTGCAGAGTCAGTCTGGAGGAGCCTCCATAAGGAGCTAGCCACAAGGGATGAAGGTGGGTGTTCCAGAAGCCTTTCTCTCGTTCAGGATCAGAGAAGAGGCTGAAATTCTCCCTGGGACACCAGGGCAGTCACAGCAATAGTCCAGAGTGCTTTTCATGCATCCAGCACAGATTCAAAAGATGCTGCTGGTCTTTCTTCCCCCTTTAGGGTTTACTTTGAAGCAACTGACCTAATTTCAAAAAAAATATTCTTGAATAGGGAACATTTAATAAAACAAAGAAAACAAGCAAATTTCAAGGGTCCTGATTTCCTATCACAAACGTAGGTGCTGGATTACTCTGCAGCTACTTGGAATAGTGCCTGTGAAAGTCTAGCATTCAGCAGGAGGTGCAACCACAGAAAAAGTCTCAAACACAGAATGGGGAAAAAAATTCCTGGCATGTGCAAGTTCTGTGAGAGTTGAACTCTGTCCAGTCACTGTTATATGTTGCAATGAGTTATAAGACAGGCAAGAAACATGTCTATATAACAGAGATCTGTTCTACAAGCTCCCTTACAGATCTCCCACACAAAAGGGATACTTGCTTTGCAAATGTCAACCCTGTTCATCTATAAGACCCAGACCCTAGTACAGTAAAACAAATGAACCTAAGTCACAATTAAAATTAAAAAATAATTAAAGGGAAGTAAAAGAAATCCATCTGGCAAAGGTATCAGAGCAGCCCAAGATACATATTCACAAACAATATTCACGTGATGAGGTTTACTCTTTTAGTAGACGCAGCCTCAAAAGATAGCATGCATGATCAAGACTCAAGGATAACATCAGGAGAGAAATTGTCTCTCTTACAGTTTAATTTTCAGTGTTCCACAAATCCAGAGAATGCACAGCTAAACACTTACTGTGCACTTGAGATGTTGGGACTCTAGGGAACAGCTACATGGCTCTTTATTGAAGTGAATTGGTATTGTTTCCATCATTTAGAAACAACATTGTCTATCTTAACTTGTTCAGAAACCTTGAACAAATCTAGTTGTCTACATTTGGGAACAGCATTAGTGTAAATTAGCCTTCCCTCTTCCAGCCATGTAAAACACAAAGCCCTCATCATTAAAGAGAGAGACCAGTGCTGATTTCAGTATGAATTACAGCCAGAATACTTACTTGGTTAAGGATTTATCCTTACTCAGCTGAAGAACACCTTCCTTCTTTGTGCAATTACCCAGAATAATTTAAGCCCTGGCCTTCTCTATTGTCTGAAAAGTATTTGGCATGTAAACATTTTAGCAATGAATTTTATTAATGAAAATGCCCAGTCAGATATGTTTAATGAATATTAAATTCCATATTGATATACATCTGGGTATTTACTATGGATTAATATTTGTAGCAGACTCTGTCCCTGGCATTATATAGGATGCTTTGATTTTGAAACAAAATGTAAATGCTAGAATTTTGTCAATGATTAATTACTTTATTTTCCATTAAGAAATTTAAATTTGTCTTTGAAGCTTCAATGCCTACCAGGAAACTGTCTGCTTTTAGCTACCCTGTACTCTTCTGCTTAAGGTGGGTATGGCTGAAATGCATCCTCAGAACAATTTTTTGCCCAATATTTCTGCTGTAGTTGGGAATAGTAAAGAAGAACTCCTAAAGCTACTTTGACAGCAATGAGAAAATACCTAATTTAATGTGTAGAGAACCTGGATCCTATCACAAGGTTCTGTATTACAATACTGTGCATTTCATCTCACATAAATTATATGCAAAAAAAATTAATGCAGTTACAGTAGTTAACATACTTCCAGAGCTGAGTAATTAATAAAGTCATAAAGAGGCAGCATTCAACAGAGCCAATCCCCCTTTCCATGAATGGGAGGGGGACATAAAATGTGGAGTCATGAAAAGAAAGACTACAGGAAGGGCTTTCAGACATAAAAAGGAAAAGAAATATTTCAATACAGGAAGGCCAGTTTTTAAAAAGGAATAATATGGCCAACAATTTTAGAGAGACAGATGTGTTTGAAAGGAAAAACAGACTCTTCTGCTCTTATAATACTTGAGCAGCCCCTTCACTATAGAACCAGTTTATTCTCATTACAACCATGCCTCAAATTTTTTTTGTCATTACAATTGCATCCTTGGGATACAAGTTAGGGAGGTTATTTTGTTCACATGTGATACCTATGTTTTCCATTCACATATTACAATTGTTCTTATTCTCCCTGGTGCAGCTTATTTTAACTTCCTGCCTAGCTGATGGTTTGTTACTAATATATGCCGGTACCCAGTCTCAACATTTACCAGAACACAAGGGACGGCTCACCCAGAGCCTGCCGTACAGGTGCAGGGGGACCGCGGGTTTGGAGTGGTGGGAGCTCTGCATAGCCCTGCGGCTAGACGGCAGGTGCTTCCTACCTTCTTCCCGGGAGACATGATGACCGGCAAAAAGGCACAGACTAAAGCATGGCACCTGAAAAAAATAGCACCAGCAGAAGCCTGAATTTGATTTCAGCCAGAATGCTAAACTTAGGAATCATATCACATGCTTTGGCAACTGAAGCCCAGATTTTTAAAACTTTGCTTATGATAGCTGCTTTAAACTTTTACTGTTTCTCTTGAATGTTAAACTAAAAGGTTTAAGAAATGTCTACTAAAAACCCTCAACCCCAAAACAAAGATCTGCTCATGCTTTAGGGTAAGAAATTTTTAATCACAAAAGAAACCCAATATTATTCCCCTCTTGTTAACCTTTACTTACTCTTTTTATACTCTCCCCTTACCTTGCCCACACCCCCTCTCGTCCCTGCTCCTGTTCACTCTCTCAGCCAATCTTATATTCCACATCTTCCTGTTGCCTCCCACTTTGGACACATATTCATGAATGCAAATAGCATCTTCCCAACAAAGAAGTAACAGGGAAGAGGAAGAAGAGAAGAAGTGAAGGGAAATGTGAGAGCTCTTAAATAAGTAATAATATTTACACTCTTATGTAAACCTTAATTTGCAGATCTCAAAGTGCTTTAGGAAAGTAGATGTTGCTGACTCCTTTAATATTACAGACAATTCAGATTTTTTAAAAAAATCCATTATTTTCTTCCTACACAATTTGTTAACCCTTGGCTGACACTGGACATGGTGTTGCCAGTAGCAGGATAGGCAAGAATAATTAACGGCAGCCAGCTGAGCATGTTTACACTGAAGAGAAGACTCATCTTACATTTCCAACCTGTCCACTTCTGCATCTGTGTTGTACAGCCTGCTGGCCTCCACGTGCTGCCTACAGAACAGCTGCTCAGGTACAACAGCCACACTTATTTGTCTTCTACCCAAATGACTTCTGCCTAGAAGACGGATTTGAGAGTGACTTGAGGATTTCTGCAAAAATAAATCATCTTGCACAAACACGCTACTCTTTCAAAGGCCATATATGTACAAATTCTGTGCAAAATTGTACATTCCACACAAAGTATTAAACACCTCAAAATGTAATTTAAAAAATACAAATTATTTCATTAATGACCCTGTTCATTACTTATTGTTGCAAAATGTTTGGCAGTACCTCCTTTCCGAGCCTTCGCCTCTGAAAGAGCTTTTGGACAACTCTAGGTAAGTTACCTAACAGTGATCTTCCACCATACGGTGAGACAACAAATCGCTTTTCTT